AGAGAGAGAGAGAGAGAGAGAGAGAGAGAGAGAGAGAGAGAGAGAGAGAGACTAATTTGCTATAATTTGCTATGTAGCCCAGTCTGGAATTTGCTATCCTCTGCCTCATACCTCCCAAGTCCTGAGATTGCAGGCCTGGGCCCCCACACCTGGTGGACACTTATTAACCATTTGATAGAATTCACATGGCTTCAGTGACACTATGGAGATGCTCTTTGTTAGTGCTATGTGTGTACGCACTTTGGCTTGGTTTGGAGACAGGGTCTTGATCGTGCCTGGTGTGAACTTGGCTGTAGTAGCTTGTGCTAGCCTCAGACTCCTAGCAGTCTGCCCTGCCTTCTGGGATGGCAGGCATGCACCACACACCCACTTTGGGGAGATTTGTTTGTTTGTTTTGAGTAAACCCAAAACTTATTCTAAGCCACAGTCATCCTAGGGTCCCCCCTGCCTTATAGCCTCCCTGGTTCTGTGGGTTGCAGTCTGATTGTTCTTTGCTTTATATCTAGAATCCACTTATGAGTGAGTACATACCATGTTTGTCCTCCTGGGTTTGGGTTACCTCACTCAGGATGATATTTTCTAGTTTGGGGAGATTTTTAACAGCTGGATTGGTGCCTTTTTAAAAAATTATAGCTTTATTTTTGGCGGTGGTGGCGCACGCCTTTAATCCCAGCACTCGGAAGGCAGAGCCAGGCGGATCTTTGTGAGTTCGAGGCCAGCCTGGTCTACAGAGCGAGATCCAGGAAAGGCGAAAGCTACACAGAGAAACCCTGGCTTGAAAAACCAAAAAATAAAAATAAAAAAAATAAAAATAAAAAATTATAGCTTTATTCTGAATTTTTTTTCTTCAAGGCAGTTTGATGACATGGGTCCATTTAGAGCTTGTTTTCTCTGTGTTAGGCAATTTGTCAGCACCAACATGTATAGCATTTTATTCCAATCCTTTTGGCTTATCCGAGGCTGCTTGGGAGTAGCCTGTCTCTCATTCTTGACGCTGCAAACTGAGGTCCTCTCTCTTGGTTGCGCAGTCAACCAAAAGACAAAGCCATGTCAGTCTTGCCGATCTTTGTTTGCAAAGAGTCAATTCTGTGTGTCACTGATGGGTCTTTTCCTTTTATTTTTCTATCCTAGTGTTTATGCTCCCCTTTTTTCCTGTTTGACTTATCTTGAGTTCCCACTTTTCCGCCTCTGAAGGCAAACACCCAGGTTGATTAGGGAATAACTTTCCTGGTACAGATGCTATAAGCCCCCACCCCTCCACCCCACCCCACCCCCTAAGCCACACCTCAGACATTTTAACGTGTGTTTCCAGCTCACAAATACTTCTAGCTCCCCATGTGCATTCTTCTTTGGGCTGCCCTTAGGTGTCTCGTCCTTCTCATAGTTATTATGAAGCTCTAGAATGAGTACCGGGAGAGCCTGTCTCCTTCAGAAGCTGCTCCTGTGAGCAGGGCCTGTGTTTCCATTTCTTCTCTGTTATCCCGATGGCAGTCCCTGGAGCTTCGCTCTGGGTAATGCTGCCTTCCCCTCTGAGTCACGGACTGCCCACTGTATGTGAGCGCCCTGGGCCAGCCACCCGTCTGGAGTCTGGGCGCTTTGTCAACCCAATGGTTTTTACAACCAGACAGCACATTTGAGTGGTGCCCGTGTGTTCTCTGACAGAGGAGTGGAGGAGATTAAAAAAAAAAAAAATGTTACCCGTGTCTAGAAGGTGGCAGGGAGTTCCAGGAGCAGCACCTGGGCAGGGGACAAAGACTCTGGGGAGTGGCTGTCTAGTCAGTGCTGTGAAGAGACACCGTGACCAATGCGACTCTTACAAGAGGAAGCATTTAATTGGGAGCTTGCTTACAATTTCAGCACCATCATCACAGTAAGGAGTCTGGCGGCAAGCAGGCAGGTGCCGAAGCAGTAGCTCAGAGCTACATCCTGATTTGTAGGCAGAGAGAGAGAGAGAGAGAGAGAGAGAGAGAGAGAGAGAGAGAGAGAGAGAGGATGCACAGGCAAGCTGACTAGGTGTGGCATGGGCTTTTGAAACCCTAAAGCCCACCCCCAGTGACACACTTCCTCCAACGAGGCCACACCTCCTAATCCTCATCCTTTCAAATAGTGCCACTCCCTGGTGACTAAGCATTGAAATCTGCGAGTCTATGGGGGCCATTCTTAATTCAAACCACCACAGTGGCCTTGGGTCACACTGGCTGGCGGAGCTGACACCGGAACCCAGGCAGCCATGAAACGCATGGCAGGTCAGGGTGCTTATTGCCAAGCCTGGCCGCCTGAGTTGGATTCCCTAGGACCCAAATGGTGGAAGGAGCAAACTAACTCCCTATGAATTGTCTTCCGATCTCCATTCACGTAGTGTGGCATGCATGTGTGCGTGCGAACACCCACACACACCCACACACACACCCTATGCCACTATGGTTCTAATCCTAAAATACAGGGTGGGCAACCCCTGCCTGATAAGGTTGGAGCAGGTTAATGTGGGAACAGTTGGACAGCACTGGCCCCTAGCCACCACAGGGAAAGTGACAGAACTAGTGGCTGTCAGTGCAGAGGGCCGTGCCCATGATCAGACGGTGTCAGTACAGGGACACTGGATCTTCTGAAGCTCCCTGGCCCTGTCTGGAGCCAGCCGTGTGGATGGTCTGCCCAGGATCCCAGCTTCTGTAATAGTCTTTCTCCCCCACCCCACCCCCCACCCGCAAATATGCTTGCCCCCCCCCAGCAAATATGCTTGCCCTCTCCCTTTGGGCCTCCTGACTGCTTAGGCTGTTTCAGTCTTGCCCTCCTCCCCCATCTTGCTGGGGCATCCTAGAATACCATCTCCTGGTGGTCTCAGGCCATGCCACCCTGTGCAATCCTCCTATGGGGAGAGAACTGGCCTTCTGGAGGAAGCGACGGTGTATGCCAGTGGCTGCCAGGGACTCCCCAGGGGTGGTCTAGTGAGCCTGACCCAGGACTGTGAAAGGCAGCCTGCACACGTGGGGTAGTTTGAAAGAAAATGTCTCCCAGAGGGGGTGGCACTAATAGGAGGTGTGGCCTGTTGGAGTAGGTGTGGCCTTATTGGAGGAAGTGTGTCACTGTGGGGGTGGGCTTTGACGTTTCCTATGAGACAGTTCACTTCCCATTGCCCGCCAATCAAGATGTAGGACTCTCAGCTCCAGTACCATGTCTCACCAGGATGATAATGGACTGAACCTCTGAAACTGTAAGCCATCCCATTACATGTTTTCCTTTATAAGAGTTGCCGTGGTCACGGTGTCTCTTCACAGCAATAGAAACCCTAACTAAGACAGCATGCTTCATGGACAGGGAGGGATGATCAGCAAGAGCGAGGACTTGCCTGCAGCCAGGCTGGCTTGGGGAACCCACCATTCCTCACTCCTTTCTCAGCTCCCCTCCTAACAACTGGAGGTCCCCACTCTGATGTCGTTACCTTATCTTTCCTGCTGGCCCTGCTCAGGACATGCTGGCGTTTCTGGACTAGTCTCCAGACCCTGTTTCTTCCTGGTAGGTCCTAGGGTCTCCCCCATCATCAACTTTGGCTGCTGCTTGTTGGCCAGCTGCAGGAAGGACTCTGCCACCTTTACCCAAAGCTTCTTGCCTGGACTATCAGCACTAGCCCTGCACCCCCACAGCCTAGACTTCCTTGATACAGGCAGGTGAATCCACTAAAGTGGAGCCTCAGGGAGATACAGGGATGCCTTCTAGGCTCTGTGCCCCGTGAGGAAGGCTGTGCTGCAGAGATCTGGTCTCGGATAGCTGGGACTACAGAACTGGGTCTCCACCCTGCAGGGGTGGGGAAAGGGACAGCCAGGGAAGGGTTTTATATAATTTATAAAATTCTATTTCAGGGGCTTGAGAGAGAGCTCACTGTTTAAGAGTGTTAGCTGCTCTTGCAAAGGACCCAAGTTCAATTCCCAGCACCCATACGGCAACTTATAACAATCTGTAACTCCAGTTCCAATGGTTCTGATGCCCCCTTCTGGCCTCCTCAGGCACTGCACGTACATGGTGTACATACCTACATCTACATACACATGGACAAAATACACATACACATAAAATAAAAATAAATATTTCAAAACTATGTTTAAAAGTTTGGGGAAAAAAGGGATTTTATAAACTTTTACCAGATTCCATACTCGTTATTCTGCGGGTATTTTTCAAATGAGAGCTTTGAAAGCTGTATAGGATGCATTGACAAGCGATGCTTCCCTTTGACTAGTTCATTCATTGGGCTGCTTAGTCCAAATCTGTGGCGGCAAGTAGCATTTTCTCTTGTGATTTATAAAATGGTGACTTCACGTGTGCAACCTGTCCTGTTTCTGCAGATGGGAATTTCTTAGCCATAGGCTCGCACGACAACTGCATCTACATATACGGCGTCGGAGACAACGGGAGGAGATACACAAGAGTTGGCAAGTGCTCCGTACGTTCTCCCGTTTCCTGGGGACGCTTATGTGGTCACTATATTACCGTGGCACGGTGTCTGCCAAGTTCAGGAAGGCAAGAGGGACTTACCCAGTGTTCTCCTCCCCCAGGGCCATTCCAGCTTCATCACCCATCTGGACTGGTCGGTGAACTCACAGTTCCTGGTGTCAAATTCCGGGGACTACGAAATCCTTTACTGTGAGTAACAGGCAACAGGGTCGTCTGGGTTTAGATGACAGAGGACACTCATTCTGAGACTCCCTCGGGCCTGTGTGGGATGACGCCCGAGGGACACATCCCTCGGTGTCCTCTGTGATGCGGAAGAGTTGGCCTAACCCCAGTTTGGGTTGATTGGGAGGGGTCTTGTTGAAGAGCAGGGCCCACCCTGGGGGAAGAGGTGAGCTTTGTGTGGAGGTCCAGGAGGTGGGTGAATGTCACGGTATGACTGTCCCTGGTAACGGGACCCTCCCAAACAGACACCGTGAAGTCCCTCCCACTTGGGGTGGACAAAAGCCCCTGGATCCTATTCCTTTTCTTTAAGCCTATCTTTGGCTAGTCTCTGTTCTTAGGCAGGACCTGGGAGGAAGAAGGATGCTAACAGCAGTACCTGCGTGTGCCTGAGCAAAGCGGAGGGGGCCGTGGGACACCAGAGTGCTCTGGTTCTCCACTCGCAAGGAGCTCCTTAGAATGCACACTGCTGTTTGCCTGCATTCTCACGACCCAAAGTGTTTTCTGGCACTTTCAGGCTCATCCTATCTTACGAATAAAGAAATCCAGATTCAGATGCTGGTGAAGGCCAAAGGCCGGTGGGTAGGGAGGAAGTTGCCCTCCCCTGGGCCTGTTGCCCACTTGTTAAGGAGCCTGGGAAAGGCAGGGAAGAGAGGCAGCCACTTCCAGGAGGAAGCCCCTCCTCCGAGGGTCCCGCCTCGCACAGGTGCATAGCAGACAGCTGCTCTGGGCATGGGCCTGGGTCTAGAACCAGACACGGGCACCTAGGCCATCAGTGAGGTTCATCTAGGGGACAGACAGATGAGCCTGGAGGCCTTGGCACTTGCTGAGATTGATTTCCATGCACTTCCTTCCCTACCTCAGAGCTGAAGAGGCTGAGGGATGTGCATGAGTGCATGCGAGCACACATGCATGTGTGTGTGTGTGTGTGTGTGTGTGTGTGTGTGTGTGTGTGTGCCTGTGTCCGTGTCTGTGTCCGTGTCCGTGTGTGTGTGTGTGTGAGATGTATGTGTGTGGTGTGTGTATGTGTGTGTATGGTGTGTGTGTGTGTGTGTGTGTGTGTGTGTGTGTGTGTGTGTGTGCGCGCTAGAAGGGGACTGAACAGCCCAGAAGCAGGGCAGGGTTCAGGCCTGCCATGGGGACACTGAGCAATAGGTGGCTGGGACCAGAGACTGGTCACAGATGGGAGAAGCCAGGCTGGTGGTAGGGAGCAGAGGGGAGTCTTAGAGAAGGACCTGGAATGCTGAAAGGCAGCCCCTCCTAAAACCCAGATTTGCACTCCTCCGCTCACAAACTGACAACTGTGTATGCCGCTCCCATGAGTAGGAAAGTGGGAGTCTTCTCAGATGGGGCACGGCTCTGAGGACCCTGCTTGGCCCCAGGGAGAGCTGGGGTCTTGGCTGAAAAATCACAAGGCTGTTTGCTTCTTCCAGGGGTCCCGTCTGCCTGTAAGCAAGTCGTGAGTGTGGAAACCACAAGGGACATCGAGTGGGCCACCTACACCTGCACCTTGGGATTCCATGTCTTTGGTAGGGGTCCGCAGATGTCACTGACTTTGAACATGGAATGTGTTCTAATGTATGAGGTCACACCACCTCAAGTCTTTCTTTAGGAATTTATTTATTTTTAATTGTTTATGGGTATGAGTGTTTTGTTCCATGTCTGTCTGTGCACCATGTGTGTGCAGTGCCCGTGGAAGCCAGAAGAGGGCGTCAGATTCCCTTGGTACTAGAACTGCTGATAATTATTATCTGCCACATAGGTGCTGGGAATTGAACCTAGCTCTAAGCCACCACCTTCAATCTTGTCCATCTGCTCTGTCCCTACTTGGGGCCGTGATACACACTCTCCTCATCTCCCGGGCTCAGGCCAGGTGAGAAGGATGAGGAGGTGATTAACCCTTCCCAAAGCACAGGACAGTCCTCCCCGAGTGGTTACGTGGATGTTGTACCTACATGAACCATGCAGCACCTAATTTATTTACCATTTGTTAGGATTATGTGCTTTGACCCTTAGCCTAAAATTCTCACTTCCTCCAAAGCTCATTTTAGGAATACATAGCCTAAAATAAGCTGCTACAATCCCAACAGCTGGAAGTCAGCAGGCTGACAGGAATTCCCTAAGTGTGGCGCCTCTCATTTCTTAGTGTTGAGTGTTGAGTCCTGGAGGTTCACACCCGGGCTGCCTGCTGAGGAGCTGGTGTGAACTCGGCTCTCTCAGATGTAAAGTTCTCAACCAAAAGTCCCTCCCAGGATGGTGTCCCGAGCCTCCAGGTACCTCTGCAATCTGGAGGACCTGCAAGGGAAAGGCATCACTTCATGACCAGCTGGTCCTCTGCCATTGCACCTGGAAGTGCTCCCAAGGAAGGCGGGCATCTCAGAAGGCTGCTGGGGCCGTGTGATTCAGCGAAGCCATTAGAAGCCACGCGGAGCTTCTCCAGGCTGGCCCAGGGTAGACAAACCAGGAGCCAGAGAGAGGCAGGGGGTGGAAACGAGCGTCCTCCTGGCCCTTGATTCTAGAGCCCAGGCTGAAGGGTTTCTCTCTGCGGGCCATTGGTGACCAGTTCCTGCGTGTTGTGCCTCGGGGGTTTCCAGTGTTGTCTGTGCTCTGTTTCAGGAGTGTGGCCAGAAGGCTCGGACGGAACAGACATCAACGCTGTCTGCCGGGCCCATGAGAAAAAGCTCCTGTGCACAGGCGATGACTTCGGCAAAGTGCACCTCTTCTCCTACCCTTGCTCCCAGTTCAGGGTAAGGCCTTCGCCATGCACACTCTCCCTACAGGGCATGCGCTGATGCTCTGACCTGTTGGAAATGAGCTGCCAGCACAGGGCCCTGCTAATCTGCTGCCCAAGCACCTCTGGGGTTCCCCACTGCCCTCGGGGCAACCTCCACCCAGCTCTTTGTATCTGGTATGTCTACCTCTGCAGCTATATGGGCTTTACCCTGACACACACACACACACACACACACACACGCACACGCACACGCACACGCACGCGCACGCGCACGCGCACGCGCACACACGCACGCATGCACGCACGCACGCGCGCGTGCGCATGCCTGTTCCCTACCTCCCCATGCCCACTCCAGCCTTGCTAAGCTGTCCAACCTGTGCCTAGATTGCTTTCCTGGGCCTTGGTGAATCTGAACATCCTTCAGCCAGAAGACCCTATCCCTCACCCCAGCAACTGCTTAGTCCCACCCTAGGGTTGGCTCATACCTGGTGCATCCTCTGGCATTGACTGTACTTGATTTCAGGTCTGTCCTGCGCTTGCTTCTGTCCTGGGGGATTCTCTCTGCACCCCTCTTGAGTCCTGAAAACAAAGCAGGGTGCACAGACAAGAGCCGCTTACAAGGGGGAGGGTAATGAGTTATGGACTGATCTCCAGTCCAAGCGTTTCCTGACGCCCCAGTCAGCTCCATCTAAGCTTTCCTCCTTGCCATACTTTTCCAGGCTCCAAGCCACATCTACAGCGGACACAGCAGCCACGTCACCAACGTCGATTTCCTCTGTGAAGACAGCCACCTTATCTCCACGGGCGGGAAAGACACGAGCATCATGCAGTGGCGGGTCATTTAGTCCCCAAGGGAGCTCCGGGAGCAGATCATGCCCGAGGAGACAGACTCACGTTCCGCTTGGTCACTGTGATTTCTGTTTTGTCTACAAACTCTTACAAACCTCAGGAAAATTGTCCCTCTACCGGTTACCTTAGTTGGGGAGCCAGCGAGTGTCACACCAGATAAGCGGCTTTCGGGTCCGCTTTTGTTATATACGTGCGGGACAGAATGCATGTTGGGTAAAGAAAGTTCCCAAGGTTTACATGGCAGTGGCATCGATCGAAGGGACTGGTGTGTCCTTGTGGTCACTTTTCTATGAACTCTTCAAAATGGTCACAGAATGCCTTTTAAAATATTGTATATAGTCTTCACTGCTTCACCTTGCTAAGTCAGATATTTATGATAATGAAGTACTGAACTGGGGTCGTTGACTAGTTGGTCCTAAAAGGATAAATCACATAACTGATTTGCCCAGCTGAATCAGGAATGCAAATACCAGACTTTCCTTGGTCATGTATCTAAGATCTCACTAACTCCTCCCTTTGGGAGGCTGGCAGGAACGGGGCTGTGTTCTCTCTGGATAAGCAGTTTCTACTACAGAACCCATGGGCTCCAGTGGGATGTATAGGTGCTTCCACACTCTGGATAGACAGACTGTCTATCCTTCCTGGGGACACAGCCAGTTTCTCAGCACCTCCACAGATTGCAGCCCCATCTCTGTTCCTGTGCCCTGATTAATGATGAGACCTTCAGCCACCACTCTCTGTGTATTAATGGCATGATACGGTATTGTCCTTGTATAGAGTTTAGCAGCTCATGATAAACCGCTCAAGGCCGGGCCTCGCTGTGTGTGCTTTGGACATTGTACGTTTGTACCCGACGACCAAGTAGATCAAGTTGGAGAGGGACTCTCTTCAGTGTTGCGGTGGTGGTCTGTGGAGTGCAGCACCTCAGAGGTTCCCAGGGCTAAGGGCAGCTTCCTTTCCCGACTCTGGTGCATGGACAGTGCGCAGCACATGGACTAAAATTATGCTCTGACAAGTAGAACATAGGTGGTCTAAATGTGTCAAGAAGGCCTTACCCCTTGTGTGACGGATTGATTTATTGTTTACATTGGGGACTGTATCTTGGATTTTTAAATAGAAGAATTACCAAGAGTTAAGGACAAATGCTGAGATTTCTAACTCATTTAAGCAAGTAAGTGAATTGAGTTATCTGAACTCCACCACACTGGGTGTTTAGAGTGGCCGATGAAGGACAACATTGGAGACATGTACCTTGCCATCTCTAGCCTGCTCTGAAAGGGCAGGGCACTGGAAAAGAACGTGACTCAAGATGAAGCCGTTTGTATGTACCCTTATCAAATATATTCTATAATGAAATAAAACCGGAAAAATGGATTTCTTATTGACCTATGTTTCTGAAAGTATATAAATTAAAGTATTTTAAATTAGCTATGATCCACACTACATTCTGTTCCCATACTGAGGGCTCACTCCCCTGGGTCCCTGGCAGATGGAATTCTGCTTTGCACACAGTTTGGAAACCTTCATCAGATGGGAAAACCCTAAAAAATACTGGCAAAATAGTCACTTTTAATTGATAGTTAAAGGAATAGATATCAAGGAAGGGAAAGAGACCTAGGACAATTTGCATATTGGCTCCTTTGGTATTACCATGACCAGTACCTAATAGGAACCACTTCAGGGAGGGAGGACTTGGCTTAGTTTGTGGTGTCGGGGGCTTCAGGTCACTGACACTTGGCTCCAAGCATTTGGGGAGAACGTCATGGTGAGGGAACAGATTGGAGAAGAGATGTCATTGTCTGATAATCGGGAAACAGAGACATCAGCCATCTGAGGACCAACCTCAGTGACTACTCCTCCAGTGACGCTCAAGTTTCCAGAACTTACCACAATAGCCACACCAACTGGGGACCAAGCATTCAAAGCCTGTAGGCAACGGTTCATACACAAACACAACATATAAATCAAGCAGAGAGAGACGTATATGCATACAGTCATATTTAAGATATGTACATACATAGTATTCTATATTTTATTAGTTATGTGGACAATGATAAATTTTATATATTTAAGCCTACCATCACAACATTAAGTATATATTATATAGTAATTACTTATAAATAGTATTAACTAGCACTATTGCGGTGATACCATATTTAAATGGCTCAGTGTTAGCTTTACAGGTAGCATTTGTTAATTATTCATATAACACACAATGATGGCTTACCACTGCTCACCCCATCCTGGAGACAGGGAGCTGACTTGTCTCTGCTTGTATTGAGGAAGCTGGAGAGAAGGATGTAGTTAGGATTCTCTGTAACTGAGACATAAGAACAAATTTGTTTTCTAGAATCAACAAACAAGTAGGTGTCTTAGCATCCATTTGTTGAAAGCTGTGGCGGTATTTAACTTCACTTTGAACTCGGATTAAATATAGTGAGTACTTACTGCGTACCTGCACAGCTCCGCGGTCTGATGCATTCCACCACCTAGTGGCAAGACAGCAGAACACAGTCCATCTTTCCCCTCAGCACTGTGTGTGGAGAAGGACCTCGATCTCTTATTCCACTGGGTGGTCTCCGCTGTGTAGGGGCACGTGCACAAGCTGACTGCTCAGAAAAGCCTTCAAAGGTTCCTGAAAGACCCTGACATCTACGCAGTCTTTGGAACCAGGAAAAGACTTCGAGTCTAAGGAGTGGCTTCCTCTCTTGAGGGTTCCCCCATCTGAGGCTGGAGTGGTGGGGGCTGCCGGGCGGGGAACCGAGGCAGCACACTCTGGCTCTCTTGCACAGGGGGAGGCTCATTTCTATTCCAAGGATGCGTTTGTACCTCACACCTGACACCGGCTTCTTCTGGGCACACGGCTGAGAACTGCCCTCTTTTGCCTCTGAAATCTTCAGCCACAGTCCACAAATCTAGGGAGCATATGCTGTGCTCCCCATGTGGCTTGGGAGAAGACAGAATGACCCCTGTTCTTCCCTTCTGAAAGGAAAATGGAATGATCAACTGATCAGTATGCCCCCCCCCACACACACCGAGAAATCTTCCTCCCAAATACTTTTTAGATATTTTTAAAATAATTTGTATTATATTTGTTAATTTAGTGGGCATGGGTGCAGGTGTGCGTACCATGGTGCACATGTAGAGGTCAAAGGGCAGCTGGTCAGTCAGTCAGTTCTCTTTTATGCTGTGGGGCTGGAACTTGGTTCTTGGGCTTGGCAGCAAGCACCTTTGTCCACTGAGCCATCTCTCTAGCCTGTCTCTTTAAATTTTCTAACGCCTGACTGTGTATGTCTGTATGTGCATGAGGGAGTCTAAGGGACTTCCTGGGAGCCTTTTGTAACCTGTACCTTCACCTACGGAGCCTTTGAAATGCCTAACCTATTAGACCTTGGCTCAAGGTTTAATCCGGTTTCATCACCAATGCCGCTGTGACAAGCTTTAGATGGTTTCTTTGTGGGTCTATATGGTCAGTTTCCATGCTCTCTACCATCCTCACTGAGGAATGGGATTAGATGTGTTCTGGTGTGGACACTGGATATTGCCAAATCGTCTCCCAGGATGGACCAGCAGCAGAAAGAGGTATCCTCTGCTCCACTTCCCCACATCTGGACCAATCTTTCACTTTCAACAGCATAGCAGCCCCCAGAACAGTAAATTGGCTGCCTTTTGTGAGGATGAAGCAGCAGATGGTTAGAGATCAGAAACACTTGTCCAGGGTTTCGTGATGGCTGGTGGCACAGATAAGGGAAGAAGCCTCGCCTCTCCCAAGCCATCTCCTACAGTTCTATGTGAGCCTTATCATCAGCACCCACTGGAGACGGCGCTAAGAGAAGGGTAGAAAGTACTGCATGCTCTGTACAGTCTGCAGAATGTGCAGAATGAGGGCCAGCTGCCTAGCCTAGGTCTGGACACTTGTGTGACTAGAAAACTGGCCGTTTCCCCAACTAGAGCTCTGGGCATTTTTTTTTTTCTCCCAGCACTGATTATTGGATCAGTACTCTGCACATACCAGGTAAGTGCCAGTATGGAACACATGGTTAATGTTGATTGTCAACTAGTGATTTGGAATCACCATGGAAACAAATCTCTGGTCATATCTATCAGGGATTATCTAGATTAGGTTAACTGAAGTAAGAAGATTCATTTTAACCGTGGGTGGCACCGTTTCATGGACTGGGATTTTGAACTCAGCAAATGAGCTGAGCAGGCAACCTTCTCTGCTCATCTGACTGCAGATGCAGTGGATGAGCCGCCTCGGGCTCTTGCCTGCCATGACTTCCCTGCCATGGTGGACTGGGCCCTTGAACCGTGAGCCAGAATAAACCCTCCCTTCCTTAACTTGCTCTAGTGACAGCAAGACACGTAAGAAATACATCCAAGCAGAATTAACATAAAAAAGAAGAGAAGGGAGTCCGGGACCCGTCCCTCTCCATCCTCACCTCCCCAGCACAGGGTGGGAATGACAGGTGTTGAGGGCTTCCCTGGTGCTCCTTAGTTCCCATCAACTTCTTTAGGGTCCTGGGATGAACATGCTTCAGCAATGAAGCAGGCTCCTAGACAAGGGAGGACTCAATCCTCTCTTCTTGTTGGTGAGTTACCATGGCAATAGGTGGGAGGGGTAGGCAGGATGGAAGACCCTAGAATGAATTTGGTGATATCACTTTTGCTTATAACATAGCAGGCCACTTTGCAAATCTAAACTAGAAGTCAAAATGTCTCCCTGCCATGGGAAGGCTGATGTCACATGCTCTATGATATTTTTGGACAAATGAGTTTCTGCGTCTTTGATTACCAGGAGGCCCTCAGATCATGGCTACTGGAAAGAAGAGTAGGCCTAGCCCAGCATGCTGCTCAGCTTCTCATGTGCCCCCATCCCTCCCCTAGTGGTCCTCTGTTTTCCTGTGGTTCGTCTTACTTGAGTGCACACAGAAGTGGCAGGCTTAGATAGAACATGTCCGTTCATTGTCTGCATTTGCAGCAGGCCATGGAGAAGGCTGTGACATTTGGGCTCTGGAGGTCACCCTGTCCCCACCTTTAGTCATTGCTGGTTTGTACATGGCATTTGAAAGCCTCCTCAGAAACTGACTTTTCTCTCATCCTGGCAAGTTCACTCCTGTTCACCGTTCTTCCCGGCCAGAGGAAAATCCAGGGCTTGGGCCTCAGTGGAAAGCAGGGGAAGAATTCCCAGCATGCTCAGGGCAGCCAGACAGAAAGCTCAGGATAGCCAAGCAGCCACCATGTGGTTGACCACCCTAGAAATGTCCTGGCCTCTCCTGGCATGGCTGCACTGAAACTGAGGGGTGGGTAGTTTGGGGGAATATCCCCCAGTGTGTTCCACGGACCACAGATGCCAGAGACTCCTCATTCAGAAAGCACTCAGTAGACTATATTAACTTACACCGTGTGAGTTGAGAGCGAATGCTGTGTCTGGCTGCCCACCCATCTTCCATCTTTTCTCCCCTCTCTCCCTCCTTCCCTTCCTTCCTCTGAGCCAGGCACAGCCTCAGGCTAGCGAGCTCCCCCTGCCATGGAACTGTGATTGGAGATGGTGACAAAGAGACAGAAAGGGTACTAGACAGGCAGGGGACAAGGACCGAGGCTGAGCCTAGCACTTGGGGGAGGCATTCCAACCATCCCATCTGCCCTTCTGGAGCCATGCTCCCAGCCCAGAGACTGAGAGCCCACCCTAGGGAGACAGCTTCCTCCAGATCCCTTTTGTTAGCAACAGGGGTTTGTTTTGTTTTATTCATTTTCTCTCTCTTTGTTTTTCAATACTGAGAATCTGGGACTCTAGCTCAGGGTCTTGCATGCTAAGCAAGCACTGTCCCACTGTATCGTATCTGCAGCCCTCTCTCTTACAGATTAGAAGTAGATTTACCCAAGGTCAATGTGACTTTCTCAGGGTCAGTATCAGCTCCCCTGTTTGCTTCTCTTTAAAATGAAAGCACTGTGTCTTTAAATGATAAAATTGTGCACTCTTATTATAGCAAACTCAAGAAGAGAATCAGCTGCTCCTACTACCCCAAAATAGCACAATTGCTTCTTAGTGTATATCCTTCCTATATTTTCACTCTATCAGTCAATTTTTAGATCCACTTCCCTGGTTGACATTTTTGTATGTATCAAGCTATATAACTTTTTGTGTATTTTCCCATTATAGTTTGTTATAAATAGCTTGTGTCTATAGTATGGTGATAGATACTGTGTGTCCTTGACTAATACTCTCACATTGATGATTAGGATGGTGGTGGTGGTGGTGGTGGTGGCAATTATAGCAATGATGCTAGTAGTGATGGTGATGATGACAGCGGTCAGGGTGATAATAATGGACCTGGTGAGAAGGATGGATGTTGATAGTGATGACAGCAGTGGGGGTAATGATGATGGTGATGATGATGATGGTTATGGTAGTGATAGTGATGGTAATGGTGAGGATGAGTGATGATAAGATGGTGGTGGTGATGGTGATGATGACAGCAATCAGGACTGTGATGACAATGGTAATGGTGATCTTAGTGATGCTGATGATGAGAGCGGTGGTTGATGATGACAGTGATAATGGTGGGGATGATGTTAAGGTGGTAGTGGTGGTGGTGCTGATGACGGTAATGAGAAATAGGATGATGCTGGTAATGGTGTTGATGGTGATGATATATGGCAATGCCACATACAAGAAAAACTCCTAGTGTGATTTACCCAAGAGTGGCCCGGACTTATTCAGAAGAACTTTGGCCTCTTGTGTTCTAATCTAAGAGCGTAGTCCCAGGAGAGCCTAATATGAAAATTAGAAACAGGAGAAGTCCTGAACATCCTCTCTCTATATTGCACAGCACAGCAAATATGGCAATGAAAAGAAGTGAGGAACTTTCGTCTCAGTCTGCTACTGTAGTCTTCAAGGAGAGAAAACTGGTTTTGTGGCCTTGCTGACTCAGAACACCACCCAAAGCCATAACCTGATGTTAACACACTGTATCTACATGTTGTTTCCAACATATTGGGGTACTGACATTGCTTTCAATGCCTTGCTGCTTTCATGGTTAGACCTGCTCAACACCCCCTAACACACACACACACACACACACACACACACAATTTTCTGAGTCAGGGACATGGTAAATAGGGATCATGGATCATGGTACATTTGAGGCTGTGTGCAGGAGTTACTTATATTGGAAGTCCAAAGTATAGTAAGATTGACTGCAATATTTTTCTTAGAAGCCAGTTTATCCTGAGCAGGTTGGATGTGCAGAATGTGAGCAGAAAGAGTACATTGCAATAAACACCCATAACTCACTTAGAGGCCTCACTTACTGAGTACTGTCCCCACAGTGTGCCCTCTCTGGGCAGCTCTTACCATCATTTCACCAGCCCTGAGGGAGAGGAATAATCTTCCCCTCCCTCAGGGCTCTGCTGGCCCCTTCTTGCTGTCCCTGCTCCCACCACCGCCACCCTGGACTATCACATCAGCTCCCAGGACCTGAGTCACAACTTCAGCCTTATCAAGGCTAACATCATCACCTTCAGCTGAACCTGCCTTCTTTCCTTCAAACCGAATATTTAGCACCCCAAGAACGTGCCTATTTTCTCACTCCTCTGGTGGCACTATCTGCCATGTCCCAAACTGAATTAATCTATTCCCTTAATCCTGGAGCCCTCCTTCCCTACTACTCCATCCAGGAACGTAGGCATGCCTCTCAGCCCGTCTTTTTTACCCACCACACACTATCAGCAAGCTGCCAATCACAGTGACTTGCAAGCACCCACTCACTCCAGGTGCATCAGGAGGCTGTGCTCATATCAGACTCCAACACTCTCGACAACCTGGAGAACGGACTGGTTATCACCCTTGTTTGATTTCCTTCCAGAGAGGTTAGTTGCCTTTCCGAAAGTCACACAGCAAAGGAGCAAACTCTTCACCCCCATACAACCGTTTCAGAGATCAGCCTCACAACTCTACCTTTCTAAGACATGAGGATTCCACCTCACGGGAAGCCGCCGCACATGTCTCCACCGGGTGCTATCCCCTGCCTGGCTTGTGCCTGCAGTCATCACTGCTGGCACCGCTGTAGCTGTAGAAGGCAGAAGCTGTAGAAGCTGTAGCCAGGCAGGCTAAGGAAGCTTTCTTATCTCTCAGCCTGACCAGGTCACTCTCCTTAGTGCTCTTAGGAAAGCAGGTCCTTCGTGCCGTGCCCAGGCTTGCTCAGCAGCTATGGGTCTCTCTCCAGCACCATGTTTCTTCTGTGTCCACCTCTGAGCTTCCCGCTGTCTCCACCACAGCATGCTTGCTTCCTGAGGGAAGTGTGCCTTCTTCAGTACCGGGTCTAGCCTCTGGTCCCTCCCATGTCCCTCCTCTACCAGAGCATTCCCCTTATCCCACTTACTGGTTACCAGCCCTGTCTGTAAGATCAACATCACATTCACTCTGCCTGAGCCGTCACCTAGCACAGCTGGTACTCAGTACCATCAGGTTTAGTAAACACACAAGTGGGTATTTGAGCTTGTTTTGCATGCCTTCCCTGAGACCTCTTCATGGCAAAGAGACTGTAGTCAGAGCTTTGTCCTTTGGGCTGAGCCCAGAATCATGAACATTTGTTTCTTGGGGGCAAATGCCCAGAGGTGGAGTCACCCAGTTAAAGGACAAGAATGCCTTGATGTCTCCTGACATAATTTGAAAAAAAAAAAAAATCCAAAATTACAGTGGCAACGTGGTAGGCTTTTTCTTTTTTAGCAAATGACTCCTTTATTCCCTTTAAAGTGTCTTCCTGGCGGAAGGCGCCCAAAGCTATTTTTTACCTAGAGGCTGTAAACCTCCTCAGCTCAAAGGAGAGCGCCAGTAAGTGTGAGGAAGCTGTCTGCCAGCCTCACCAGCCTGGCCCCACTGGGCCCTGAGCCCTTGCCTATTTCTAGGTCATTCGGAAAAAGTGTGTTTAAATTGTGTCCCAGACTAAGATGTGGATTTGGGAGAAGAGCTAAGTATTATGGGAAATGTGAATGAACCATGCTGTCTTTTCTTTCAAAGGGTTAAATAAAACAAAAGAAGCTCCATCTTAAAGAAATTAGTAAGGACGCCATCTGGCAGACGTCCTCTCCTCTCTCTGAGTCAACGTTTTTCTGAGATCAAAGTGCCCTTCTGCAGAAGTAAAACTTTACCCTTGCCAAAATACTTAACTTATGTGGTCATTTTCTTGAGACCCCAGGCACATTTCTTTTTTTCTTCCTTCCTTCCTTCCTTCCTTCCTTCCTTCCTTCCTTCCTTCCTTCCTTCCTTCCTTTCTTTTCTTTCTCTAGACAAGGTTTACTCTGTGTAACAGCCCTGGCTGCCCTGGAACTCACTCTGTAGACCAGGCTGGCCTCAAACTCAGAGATCCACCTGCCTCTGCCTCCCGAGTGCTGGGATTTAAGGCGTGTGCCACCGCTGCCCAGCTCCCAGACCTGTTTCTAAGAGCAGCGAACATCTTTTTTCTGTTGTTTACTTGTTTGTTTGAGACATGGTCTCAATAAGTAACTCTCACTGTCCTGGAACTCATAATGTAGACCAGACTGTCCTTTAATTCAGAGATCTGTCTGCCTCTGCCTCCTGAATGCAGGCATTAAAGGTGTGTGCCACCATGCCTGGCTTCGGTGAACATCTTTAAAGTTCTAAGAAACCAGGAAGCAAAACCAAGAAACTGCAGGAGATGTTAGGAGAAGTCAGTGCAGTGTGGGCTTGGGAGACAGGGTCATCGAGATCGCAAACGGTCCACACAGACACACTTTCCCGAGTCTGTCTACTTTACTTCTTAGAGACCTCCAGAGGGCTGGAGAGGTACCGTTTCAGGACGTGTCAGGGAGGATATTCCCAATAAGTGAAGTGACCCACCTCCCCAATAAGGCCTCCTCCAGCAGCTGAGCCCCTGAACCCAATGGAAAGATGGAGGGTGAGTCTGCTCTGCCTCAGCAGCGCCCCCTATCTTCTGTGGTGGGTTAAGGCTCCTACCTCTCAGGCCTTTGAGCTTGAACTGGGTCTTAGGCCATCTGGTCCATCTACTGGTTCTTAGAACTTACCATTTGTATCAGGATTTTACTGGTTCTTTTTGCATTAGATCCTGGGTCTTCTCAACCTCCATGATGATAGGTTCCAGCCCATCTTTACAAAAAAACCTCTCAGCACTCGGGAGGCAGAGGCAGGCGGATCTTTGTGAGTTCGAGGCCAGCCTGGGCTACCAAGTGAGTTCCAGGAAAGGCGCAAAGCTACACAGAGAAACCCTGTCTCGAAAAAACCAAAAAAAAAACAAAAAAAAAAAAACAAAAAAAAAACCTCTATCTCTCCATATCCTAGTTCTTTGAGGAACCCTCACAGGCACAGTCTTTCTTCAGACAAATCCTACAGGAAAGTCTACCCTGCACATGTGTGGCCATTGCTTCTCTAGCTGAAGCAGCCAGAAGGGCAGAGTGACCCAGAAACACTCCCCCATGCTTGTCCTGCCAGCACCTCATCCTCTCGCTGTCTCTGGCTGCCTCCAGCTGCCCTTCTAGGGTCTACTGTCTTAAATCTACCTCTGCAGGAAACAGAGGCGCAGAGGGGACAGGGCCTCATGACCCATCTTGCCCAGCTCAGGATGACTCTCTGGAATCCTTTCTTCAAAGACACTTAGAAGCTGCTTTTGCTAAAACAGTCAGTGCTGACTCCTCACTTGGGCTCAAAGGTAACCACAGAACGAAAGCCTGGCCTCTGTGCCTGCATCCTGCCTTCTGGTTCCTTCCTCTGGGTTACCTGCTAACTTCTTCATGTAGGCCCGCTGGTCACTCAAGCAGGGCCTATGAAGAAACTGGTGATTCCAAACTTACCTCATCCTCCCTTTCCAGTCTGAAGCCACAAAGATCAGAGTAGAGGACAAATCTTCCTCTCTGCTTTTTGTGGTGTCCCATCCCAGACGCCACACAGGCCCCACAAACTTGCATTACCCTTGACTCCAAACAACAGAGCCTTAGGGAACACACACCACCAATGAGTCCATTGAGGGGGAGGCTGCCCTGGTGCAGGAACCACACACCACCAATGAGTCCATTGTGGGGGAGGCTGCCCTGGTGCAGGAACCACTGCCTTCTAAGAAGCAGCTTGTCTCCTCAAGCGATACGACCTCTGCTGACCACCCAGTCAGGTCAGAACTGAGGCAGACCTCCAAAAATAGACATCCTGACCAAGACTGTAATTATACATATATCTTGTCCTTCCCTGCCCAGCGATCTCTATGTTTTAACCTAAAGCTCAGGCTTGGGGTCCCTGGACCCCTTGATCTGCTCTTCCTATGCAGCCATATTGATTAAATCTCTGCTCTTCACCTCTGTGAGATTCTGGTGCATCGTGACAGGAAGCCCAGACTCCCAGAGCCTGTGATGATCACCTTATTGTGTTATGTCCTAAAATCCGTGTGTGTGTGTGTGTGTGTGTGTGTGTGTGTGTGTGTGTGTCATGCTGTCTCTAAGGAGGACCCTAGAGGCTGGTTCCCCCATGCTTCACCAGCCATGGGTCTCTCCTTGCTATTTACTTTTTAATAAAATGTTCCACTTTGAGCTCGAGAGAGAGCTCAGCAGTTAAAAGCACTTGCTGCTTTTGCAGAGGACCCAAGTTCTGTTCCAGAACCTACCAGCTCCAGCAGATTCAGGAAACTCTTCTGCCTTTAGTTTTTCTTTCCTTTCTTGGACTTTTTGGGGGTTTCTATTCTATTATTTCCAGAAGTAGATGTTAATTTTTCAGTTATCAAGTTCACCAATTTTTAACATTATTCCAGCTGTTACCGTGCACTTGATTATTTTCTATCTATTACACTGCATTTTAAGTTGAATGCCTCATTTATATGCATTTAGTTTGCCATCATGGCCTCCTACAGTTGTTGCCATGATGTGTTCCCATTTTCATTAATTTCTTTTTCATTTGTAATTGTAACAACAACTTCTTCCTTAAGATGAAAATTATTCAAGAGTATTTTTACAGTTATTAGCAAATTTTAATCATATTTTTGTGGTTATTTATGGCTTTATTACATTCATGAGATTTTTTAAAAGGATTTATTTTATTTGTATGAATGTTTCACCATGTGTGTATGTGTATGATAGACATGCCCGTGGAGGTCAGAAGAGGGCATTGGATCCCCTGAAACTGGAGTCATGGGTGGCTGTGAGTCACCATCTGGGTTACGGGAACTGAACTTAGGTCCTCTGCAAGAGCAAGTATTCTTAAGTACTGAGCCATCTTTCCAGTCCTCTCCTGAGATTTCTGAACTTCAAGAATAAGAAACTCCAGCTTCTGGGGAGTGTTGTGGAATATTTAACTATGTAAAGATGTGTTGCATTTGTTTATGCTGCAGAAAATTACTTTAACTGTGTAAAGATGTGTTACATTTGTTTATGTTGCATTTGTTTAATTATGTAAAGATGTGTTGCATTTGTTTTAACTTGCTTGCGTAAGGCACCCGTAATAAAAAGCTGAACGGCCAATAACTAGGCAGGAGAGGGATAGGTGGGGCTGGCAGGCAGAGAGAATAAATAGGAGGAGGAATCAAGGCTTGAAAGAAGAGAGAGAGAGAGAGAGAGAGAGAGAGAGAG